GGGAGATGATTTTTGGAATCAGGGTACACTGGAACTTACTTCATAAAACTGAAAACATATTTCTATGCATTGAAAAATTCTGAAAAGATCACGTACATATGTATTAGTTTGAAACGTGCACGTGTAAGTTTTCGTAAGATAAATGACTGTTTGCGACCTAGGTAAAAAGGAGAATGATATGGTTCAAGTCATTTTCATACATGTTGCAAATCATCATATGTATTATTTTGTGAAAACTTACATGGGATAGTTTTAAGGGAAGACTTAAAAAACATTGTTTTTGCTATAAAAAACTAAATGAGGTAGAGAATTTTGTGCATTAAGTAATTTTGTGAAAATTTACATGTGTAAGTTTTGACTCGGTACTTATGTGCATTATTCTTTTCAAAAAGAAATAATAATACTAAAAAAATATTACATCGGTTAAGAAATAACTGGCGTGGTTTTAGTTCAAAAGTTATTTCCTAAAGGGGGAGTATATCTTTTGTCAAGTTTTGGAAAATGAGTACGTCGGATGATAATACCGACAACAAAGATCTAAAATAAACATGGCATTACATGTAAAAAAAGAATCATAGCCAACATTTCTAGCTTCATTTTTCATATCTTAATATTTTGCGGTGCCTCTTATGACAAAACTGCAGAAGACCAAACCTAAATAAGATGGGTTAACCTCATAGTTTTTGAAGAGGCGCATGATTCGCTCAACCGGAAAGGTGAAAACGCATTGTGACAGCCCTTACAAGGCAGGCTCAACCGGAAAGGTGAAAACGCGTTGTGACAGCCCTTACAAGGCAGGTCGATAACCGATGGTGAAAAACTCAAGAGTACAAACCATGAGAGCCATAGTAGATTGCGAGGACGACACAAAAGGCATGTCCGTGAAATACTATGTGGCTACTTGGTTTGGTACCAAACATTGGTTTGCCAATATACAGGCAAGCCAAAAATTTGGTTGGCTGCCAACTTACTTTGTCCAATTTTTGGCAACCAACCAAAGCATGCCCTATCGGCCTACAAAGAGGGAGGAGAACCTACACGCCAGATGGTGATCCGTGATTCTTTTTCGGCAAACAAGTGCTCCTCTTGCCTCTCGTGGCCAAATTCACTGTTTTGACCCTTTTGTGCACGTTAAGCCGCATCTGACCCCTCTGGGGAAAAAAATTCGGATCTGACCCTTTTCCTACTGCCACCCGATCTGGCGGTAGGCTAGAACACCCTACCGCCGCCAGCTCTGGCGGTAGGGACCCGATCAACGTCGACGGCCCCGTCTACCCGCTGGCGTGGATAAGTGGCTACCGCCACTGGCCGTGGCGGTAGGTCTAGGCAGCCTACCGCCAGAGACGGTGGCGGTAGATGCCTTTTACACAAAACCAATGGCTGGGGGTTTAGGTGGGCCCACAAGCCACCCATTCGCCCCCAAATCCTTTCTTCCCCGAGCTGAGCCCCTCTCCCCCTCTCTCCCCCATCCTAGGGCTCCATCAAATTCATCTCCATTGCTTGAGTTTTCTCCGGTGGATTTAGGCCATTTTCATCACTCAAGGTACCTCACCCACTTTCTTCTTTTTGGTTGGTTGGAATCAACTTATTTGATGGCATTGATTTCTTTTATCCAAACCCTAGTTGTGCTACTTTTTGTGTGAAATCAATGGATTTGATGGATGGTAGATCTAGATCTAGGGTTGTATATGTGTGATTGACCATGTGTAGTGTGCTAACTTTGTTGTTTGTAGCTAGATCTATGGTTATTGTTTTGGTTATTTCTAGGGTTAGGGTTAGTGTTAAGCAAAGTCATTTTTTAGTTGTTAGGGTTAACCCATGATATTTTGTTCTTTAGTTGTTATTTGTTTTGTTGCTTAAATGTATTGCATAGAACTTTTATTGATCCATGGGATGCACAATGGATATTGTCCCATATTATGTTGCCGGTTATCGTTGACATTTTCTAAAATTTATTTAGATGGGTAGTCTTGTGAATCTCCATTATTTGGATAAGGAGACATTTATGAATGGCAATGACGATGAAGGGGAAGAACACATGGTATTTGAGTATAGCCCAACCTATGAGGATGCAGTTGTGAAAGTTAGAAGTGTGTTACATTGGATGGACCCAAGTGATGAGGTTAAACTTATTGGAAGGTATGATGTTGGAGTGGGGGTGAAGTCTCGGTTGAAGAGTATGCCTATCACCTCGGAATTGCATTGGAAGGTGTATAAGGGTAAAGTAGAGCAATCACAAGACAACTCACTTGAATTATTTGCCAGCAAGGTTGATGCTCCTCTGCTACAAATTGACTTGAACCGGCATGCCTCCTCCCCAATACATGATGCTAGGGTTGATGTGTATGTCCCCAATTCTTATAGCCAACCACCAAGTAGTCAATCAAATGAAGCGGAGATGAATGATAGAGCCATAGTAATTGAAGACCCAAAGATTCTAGCTATGGATCATGTTGATGATGATGATGCTTATGCGGAAGAAGAAGAGATTCATTACAATCCAATAGGTAACTTGGATGTCATTGTCCATCAACAAGACATGGATCGTAGCCTCCCTTATAACTGTATGTGTGGTTATGGCTCGGATGACAAGGGTCCTGAGGAAGATTTGGACGAAGATGGATTCACGGTGCAAGAAAATCAATTCTTCACGGAGGTGCATGGCAAGGAAAGAGGACCCCCATTGTTTCGTGATCTTAGCCTTGCCGACCATGCCATTGTTGATGGTGGCATGAGACTTGGGTTGGTTGAACCAACACCGTGCCCGAGAGTCGGTGATCCAAGGCCAAAGGGTGAGGACGAGAATGCTCATTTGAAAAAAGGCATCAAGTTTGGGTGCTTCCAAGAGTTTAAGATGTGGTTGAGTGACTATGCCATTCGGAACCATAGGCCATTTGTTTTTGGTCATTCGAACCAAGAGGTGCGGTACACCGTGAAGTGTGACAAAGAAGGTTGTAAATGGAAGGTTCATGGAAGAAAAATTCAAGAAACGGGGCAATGGGAGTTGAAAAGTTGTGTAGCTACTCACGAGTGCATACCTCCAGACAAAGCTGACCGAAGCAAGGGCCACCGTCAACTCACTTCAGAGTTTCTTGGCTACAAATTATTGAATGAGATATCCCATGACCCAACCGTGAAGGTGAAGTTTCTAATGAGTATTGTTGAAAAAATGTACGGATACAAGGTCAACTATGGGAAGGTATGGAAGGCCAAGTCAAATGCTATTAGGATGTTGCACAGTGATTATGCGGCCGCATACAATATTCTTCCGAGGATGTTGGGAGCCATTTCACATAAGAACCCATGCATGCAGCATGGGGTTGAGGACATTGACAGAGTGTTTCATCGTGCCTTCTGGAGTTTTGGGCAATGCATCGAGGCATTTAAGCATTGTCGTCCGGTGTTGTCTATAGATGGCACTTTTTTGACCGGCAAATACATGGGCACACTAATGGTGGCAATGGCTCATTCGTCCAATGATAACGTGTTGCCGGTGGCCTTTGCTTTAGTTCCTTCCGAGCATGACGACAATTGGGAGTGGTTCATAGGGCATGTGAGGACCAAGGTGATTGGGAAGAGGCAGGTATGCATTATATCGGACCGGCACCATGGCATTCTCAAAGCCATAGAAGTTGTCATTCCTGGGCTTCCAAAGCTTCATCACCGATGGTGCATGAGGCATTTCGTGGCGAACTTTTATCGGGCATGCAAGAGCAAGGAGTTTTGCAAAGACCTTACCCATGTTTGTGTGGCATTCACCGTCAGTTCTTTCAAAATCCGGTATGACAAACTCTTCAAGGCTTTGGCAAAGAACAAAGGTGGAAGAGCATTCTTAGAAAGGAATTATGGGGAGAAGCATAAGTGGTCACGCACTTACGATGAAGGAGGTTGGAGATACGGTGACATGACGAGCAACATGGTTGAATGCTTCAACAATGTGCTTAAGGGCGTCCGTTCTTTGCTGGTGACTGCAATACTGAAATACACCTTCTTCAAGCTGAACGAGTATTTTCTTAGGCATTCTGAAACCACCGCCAAATGGATAGGTGAGAAAAAAGAGTATCCCGACAATGTTGATGATTGGTTGAGGTTTCAAGCAGGGAAGTCCTCGCATCAACAAATCATTAGATTCAACGACAAAGAAATGATCTACCAGGTGGACGAGCCAGGTGGCACAACACGAGATGGTGTGGCTTACGGCGGTGTTGCGTATAAGGTGGACCTCAAGAACGGGTGGTGTCAGTGTGAGAGGCCTCATAAGCCGTGCTCGCATTTGATGACGGTGGCCAAGGCGAGAAACTTGCATGTTTCTGATGGGAGGACCGTGTGGTTGCAGGAGTTCACATTGGAAGCCACGAGGTTGACATGGGCATCTCGATTTCATCCTTTCCTTGACCAGTCACAGTGGCCTGACTACGATGGCCCACATATTATGCCTGACCCTGAACTCATGGTACCTACAAAGGGAAGAAGAAGAAAGAAGAGGTTTAGGAGTGACATGGATGATCTAGCTGGTTACACCGGAATGAAACAGTTTGGTAGCGGTCATTTCATGGAGCCACCGGACATCAACAACTGTGGACAATGTGACGATCCGGGACACAATGTTAGGACATGCACCAAAAAACCAAGGACCGATGCCAACCCTTGCTCTAGCCAAATAGGTGTTCGTAGAGGAGGTTCCGATGGCACACGAGGAGGTAGGACTGGTGGTCGTGGAGGACGGACTAGTCTTACAGGTAGTGCACGAGGAGGAACTACTATTGGTGGTCGTTCTTCCGGTCTTACTAGGACGAGGAGGAACTACTATTGGTGGTCGTTCTTCCGGTCTTACTAGGACGAGGAGGATCGATAGAGGAAGGCCTATTGATGTTTTGCTTAATCCGGATGGTTGAAATAATATGAATGGTACTTGCTGTTTTGTGTAATCACTCTTATTTCATTTTCTCTATTCATTGTATTGATATCTTTCACTAACAACCACTCATATTTTTGTAGGCATGGCTTCATCCGGTTCCATGACGAGGCCGCCGTGTGCTGATCATGAAGACATGCCGAACAAGTGGGAGAACGCCAAGCTGGACGAGGTGACGGAAAAAGTTAAGAAAACTCCATCATGTTGGTGTGGAGATGTTTGCAAGGTGAAGGTGTCCACCGACCGCAAGAAGTTATGGACGGAAGGGAGAAGATTCTTTGTGTGTCCCAACTATGCACATGATCGGAGGCTACCAACAAACGCATATGACGTACCACCGGTATGGTCAAAGAGTAATCTCAAATTTTGTCCAACTTCAACTCATAATCCTAACAACAAATTTTTTTATCCTATGCAGTCACCGCCTCCTCTTTGCAAGTACTTCACATGGATAGATCAAGATGTTCCAGAGGATGTCAAAAAGGACCAATATCAAGATTGTCTTAGGAGGCAACGGCGGTTTGAAGAAGCATTTCAGAGGGGCTTGGACGAAGAGCGTCGTCAGAAGGAGAAGATGGAACGAAAGAAACGCGAGGAGGAGAGGGCACGCAAAGAGAAGGTTGCTCGTGCAGAAGAGAGGGCAAGAAAGCTTGCACGGGCTCGTGATGCACAAGAGGAGGATGAGGCACGTTACAAGAAGGGCAAAGGGCCCATGTTTCCTTAGTGATCTTTAGATGCATCTATTGAAGTTGTATGTTTGTGACTGTCCGATGGTATTTCGTATGCCGGATATTTGATGATATTGCGATGCTTGAGACTATTTTATTCCACTATGTATGAACTATTTGTGATCTTTAGTGTTGAACTATTTGTGAGCTAAAAAAGTGTCAGACAAATTGTTGCTGAAATATTTTCAGCTATATATGATTGTCTAACATGTTGCTTTCTTTCATTTTGTAGATATTTGAACCCTACCGCCGCAGATTATGGCGGTAGGATGTGGCCACCTACCGCCGGGGGCAGTGGCGGTAGGCCCTGATACTCGCGCGCCGACCCAGACACCTGTCTGGTGGGGGGCGCAACAGCAAGGGAACACTACCGCCATAGTATGCGGCAGTAGGATGTGGGCACCTACCGCCGGGGCCAGTGGCGGTAGGCCCCTCATACTCGCTCGCCTGCCCAGACACCGTGTCTGGTGTCTGGCGCGACGCGAAGGGACCTTACCGCCAAAGGCGATGGCGGTAGGGTATGCTGGCCTACCGCCTGGGACAGTGGCGGTAGGGTTGGATCCCTGCAAAACAGCTGCTTAGGGGTAGAGATGGGAGTCAAAAACAATGTTCAAGTGAAATAAGAAACAATGTTCAAGTGAAACAATGTTCAAATGAAAAAAAATGAGATGCAACACCCGGTACATAGTTCAAGTGACACATGTCATGTCGGATAAATGAAATAAGAAGCAACACCCGGTGCATAGTTCAAATGACACATGTCATGTCCGATAGTTCAAATGACACACATCATTTCCCCAAGTTCAAATGACCAACATCATGCCCGGTAGCATCCTAAGTACCCGGAAAGGAGTCCCTAATAAGCCGGAAAAGACGCCCTAACCTGCTTAATACGTTCGATTAGTGCAGCATGCTTTGGATTAGGCTTTGGTTCATACTCTGCATCACCCGCCAATGGATCATGCAACCCTTTTCCTCACGGAACCAGGCCCATCGTGCACGTCGGGTTGGTTTCTCCGACACTCCTTGTTTGATTGCCCATCCAATGATCTGTCCGGGCTTTGCCATGTCCACCTCCTCAAATTCGTCAATGCTTACGGAGAACGCTATCTCCATTGCCAAAGTCCATCTACACTCATCTTCTTTCTCCTGCAACTCATTAACTATCTTTCATTTTTCTCTCTCGAGCTCTTCAGGGAACTCACAGAACACATACTTAATGAAATCTCTCTCGGCCGCGCATGCCTCTTCACAACTCTTAATCCATTTTCGAAGCTCCCTCAGCATCCTACGGCGTCGTTCTACTTCACACTTCTCATATGCTATCTGCACCTCAGGGGTCCTTTTTTCCATGCTACATTGAATGGAAAAACACAAAACTAGAACATCATAATCGAAGTAAAATGACTTGGCTTACATAACATAAGTGGAAATTCTATCCGTCCATCATAATCGAATTCAAATGACTTGGATTACATAAATGATAAGGGTACATGCCATTATAATCGAAATGACACTAGAACATCATGTGTTTGAAATAACTCTATTCGTCCATCAACACGACATCTTCGTCGTACGGCCCTGGGTTGGAGCAAATGACATCATTTCTTTCACGGACCCAAGCCCAACAAGAAGCCCGACTAGCTATCGGCGAAGATGGTTGCCTAACTAGCCAATCAATGATCTGGCCGGGGTTCTTCAAGTCCATCTCATGCACTTCATCCCGTGTACCGCACAATGCAATTTGCCTTGCAAGAGCACGTCTATGAAATTTCTCTTCCTTCTTGAGTTTGCTTATGTTTTTCTCTTTACCTTCATAGAACTCAACTTTGTTGTCGTCACACTCACTCACATAGTACTTTGAAAAGTCACTACAAGCCGCATTCAAGGCATCGACGGCTTCTACCCACAGCTTCATCTTTTCCTCAATGACTTCACGTTCACGCTTTGCCGCCGCCTCTGCGGAAGACTCAATGAAGATGATTGGTTGCATCCTACAAGTCGAGGGGTACCTATAACGGTCATCGTAAGCATAACCTTAAACACTAACCGTAAGAACCAACCCCCATCCCACATTTGGTCTTCTCACACCAAAAAACCAAAGGCATCATAAGCTTAACCCTAAGCACTAACCCTAACCACAATCCTAGTTTGTACTATGAAGTGTTAGATCCACTAACTTGGCACTATAATAAGCACATATATAACCTTACAAATGAACTTGATAGTTGATTTAACACAAAATGACTAAAACTAGGGTTTGCAACAAAGCTAACAATGCAACCAAATGATGTGATTCCAACCAACAAAAGTGAGAGGGGTGGTAGAGATACCTTCAAAGATGAAAATAGTCCGGATCCACCGGACAAATCTCAAAGAATGAAGATGGATTTGGGAGGGCTTCAATGGGGAGGGAGGTGGAAAATAGAAGACCAGCTCGGGGAAGAAAGATGCTGAATGGGTGTGTGTGTGTGGGGGGGGGTACCTTATCCTTTTCAAGTGGCTGTGGTGAGGACAGGACCCTACCGCCATAGTTGCTGGCGGTAGGGTACGCAGACCTACCGCCAGAGACTATGGCGGTAGGGTCCTGCCCTCACCAGCTACAAAACAGACCTATAAACATCAGTTTTCACAGTTTATTTAGATCAAACAACAACATATATGCACAGTTTTCACAGCAGTTCATCATATGTAATGAATAGAGCACAAATAGTAGAAAACAAGTCCAACATAACACTACAAATATAAGTCCTCAAGTCCAACATAAAACTTGAAATAAAAGCCATCAAGTCCAAAGCAAACTAATAGCTCATGATAGTTCAACATGGCCAAACACTAGTTTAACATGCCCAAACACTAGTTCATTGTCCCATTCTTCCTCTCTTAGAGCACCCTCATTCACGGTCTTCTTGCGGCGACGAGGGACCGGCTTTTGGAACGGTGACGGGCTGAATGGATTATCATGAGGGTGAGAAACCCTTTTTGCTTGGGAGGCCGGTGGTGCATCCATCATTTGTGACATGTTCATCTCTTACGGGGCTTCGTCGTCCTGCAAGTCCACCTCCTCTTCCTCCTCAGATTCACCAGAGTCGCTGCCATCATCTGCGTGGCTAGAAGAAGCACGGGCATGGCTAGTATTAGCACCGGCGTGGCTAGAAGAAGCGGCGGCTCCACTAGCCCGCACCATGGATGTGCTCGGAGCATGCACATCTACGTCACCCGGGCTTGCGCATCCAAGAATGGTGACTAGCTTCCGGCAACGTTTCATGAAACGCTGCAGCAACAACAAAAACAAAGAAACAATGATTTTTAATGCAACAACGTAAGGCCTTGTGAAGTAAAACAATTTTAATGCAACAGACTAAGGATCTCTAGTGCTTACTTTCACCGTTTCCCTCAAGGTGGCATCCGACTCCAGAGTCCCGGGGTTATGGATTAGTGCATTCGAGCCTTCGATGATACTTCTATTGAGCTCAAAAGTCTGAAAATTCAACGTAAGCTCAAAAGTTTGCACAATCAAGATAATATGAATGCACTTTCAAATAGGTTCACAAGACTTACCACTCTATCAGTCAAGGGCGCATACTCTCTGTGAGAACCTTGAGTACTTCTCACTGTGGCGTCATACTCATCGTCTGATTCATTGTTTGCATCATGATCTGCAAGATCTGCGTCGGTCCACCTTGGCCTCAAACGCACCCGAAATCGCCTCCCATTGTCATACCACTTTAGATGAGCGCCAGAGTCATATCCGTCTCTCTAGAACCGAGCCTCTGCTCCCACATCTCGACATACCTAGCATGGTGTTGTCCCCACTCAAGCACATTCTGATTATTCTTTCGGTTCTGACTGCATTGAATGACAACAACAAAGCATAAGAAATAATTTGAACCATTGTATTGTTGGTTAACATAGCCTTGGTTAGTTAACTCACTTGTGAAGCTCAAGTCCACCCGTGCTTGCTGGCTCCGATGGGGTGCGTTGCCTCATACCAAATTGCATGGCCACTCGATGTGGTAGATGCCACTCGACAGCATAAATGCATATGAGAGGGCACCTGATCCGCCAAAGATGGGAGTCCCTAGTGCACATCTGGTTCAATGCGAAACCCCTATTTGCCTCGTAAGGCCTCCAGTTAACCTATCAATGAGCTATTAGTTCGGCCAATGCATTTGATGGAAGCTCAGAGAAAATATTGAATAGGTATACCTGACGATATGTGAGGCTGTCCATTTCGTTGATGAAATTCTTGTACAAAGACTTGTTCTTGCTTCCAAAAATTCAAACCCGGTCCCAAGAGAATGCCACGGTGGGGAGTCGAAAAACATCATCTTCTTCATTATGGCCTACCCACACGTGCGGTGAAGGATGCTTTTCAGGACGCCCAACCGGCAAACGCTCCCACATCCAGACCGAGAGGTCCCAAATACATCCACCCATGCATGGCCTCGAGGTGGTTTTCCTACATGTGAGGTCGAGCTGCAACCCAAAAAACAAACTGGTTAAATGTACTAACATAAGAGTTGGAAGAGTGCTCTTTGTAGGAATTCATGAACATACTACCATGCTTAATGAATATTTGCATAACTTGTTACCTGACGGTATAAGTAGGCGAGCCCAGCAGATCCCCAGCTGTACTTCTCGTCCCAGTCGGCCAAAAAGTCAAGAAACATCCAAGGAGCAACGTCTCCAGAGCAGTCTCCAAAGACCACCTGCGATATGAGGTGCCACACGTACGCTCGAGCATACTGCTCCACGGTCTTCTCATTGGCTTCTTCAGGGCATCCCGACCTATGATGCTGGAGCCAAGGGAATGGGACGCCGTTTGTCCTGTTGTCAGTCCTTCCCTGGGCACTAAGAGATGTCGAGCAGTCACCGATGAGAGCGGTAACCCTCGCACGCCAGTTCTTGCCGTCCACTCGTCTGGTGAGAGCCTTGCCGTCAATGGGAAGCCCAGTGATCATGGCAAAGTCCTCCAACGTCACTGTTAGCTCGCCACAAGGGAGATGGAAACTGTGTGTCTCCGGCCGCCAACGATCGACGAGGGCGGTGAGAGCTGAATGACACATCGACGGCGGCACGCGCTTGAACTGAAGAACAAACGGTAGCAGCCCGGCACGCTCAAAGTACGGCTCGTAGTGCACGTCATATTGCATCTGGTTTTCCGTCGTGTGGCTCCTAAAGCGGATGACAGCAAGTTTCTGTAACAATTGAGAAAATATGTCAGAAGCTTCCTTCATTCAAAAAATAGCATGAAAAATGTTACCTCTCCACGCTCGATAGCACGGGCACGATGGTCCTTGTCAAAAGCAAGGTCAAGCCCCGTATACAAACGCCCATTGTCCTCATTCTCGGCCATCCTAACAAATATATAAGTTTTTCACTTATTAGACAACATCGTCTAATACATATGAATAAATAAAACTAAAACCAAACACCTACAATTATAAACTGCAAAATATGAAAATACCATACTATTAGTATGCATTATCCATCACAACAAAAATCATCTATATGAAATACACACATTTTCACACTATGCATTAACCACCTACAACTTTTCCAAAAAAATCATCCTCACAATTTTACAATGCATTAACCATCTAAGAATTTTGCAATGCCTTCATCCTCACAATCTTGCATTCACCATACAGAAAAACTCCTCATACAATTCATATCTACATAACAAAAGAAAATTGACCAACATATATGCATTCATCAACATATCCTCACATATCTCGCAATGGTTTCACCCACACATCCTTTCACAAGCCTACTACTAAATCATAAACTACTAAACAACTAAAACATCATAAATAAAAAATCAACACCACAACCTAGGTTGCACCTAGTGCCAAAAATAGCTTCAAAAATAAAAAAGCATTTCGAAAACTTATTGGAGGGAATGGAGGAGCTTGCCGGCCTCTTTGATTTGCCCCAAAGATCCGCGAAAATGGTGAAGGGAAGAGGGAGGGGATCGGGAGGAGGAGAGAGGCGCCGCTCGCCTCTGTTCGATCGAGGGGAGGAGGAAGAACGGGTTGGTGGGTGGGGCAGGGCCCGCCCGCAGCCACCAAGCACAAAAGGCATCTACCGCCACCGTCTCTGGCGGTAGGCTGCCTAGACCTATCGCCACGGCCAGTGGCGGTAGCCACTTATCCACGTCAGTAGGCAGACGGCGCCATCGATGTTGACCGGGTCCCTACCGCCAGAGCTGGCGGCGGTAGGAAAAGGGTCAGATCCGAAATTTTTTCCCCAGAGGGGTCAGATGCGGCTTAACGTGCACAAAAGGATCAAAACAGTGAATTTGGCCGCCTCTCGCAGGCTCCTCATGCAGCACGTGAGCCTGTGATACGACGGACGAAACTCACCTCGTCCACTTCAGTGCAGTGCTTCTCTTGCCGTTTTACGATGAATACGAGGGCTAGCGGCCGAGAGCAAGAACTTGCTTCCTGCTCCACTGCGCATTTCCTCCAAGCAATAATTCAACTTTCCAGTCAACTTCTAATCCACAGGGCATGAAAACGCAACGCAATGAATGGGCAAGTTAGTTCCATGTCACGCTCAGAATCATCCACACGGCGGTTAACCCGCGCCTTCAGTTGCTATTGCCGTCAGCATCCGAGCGAGCAGTGGCAACCATCGGCACCATAAACATTTCTAGAAACACATACAGCACACCAAAACGAGACATAAAAGTTCTTCAATTAGCCTTTCAGCCACCACAAAAATCTCCCAGCGAGTCGGAGAACAGAAGAGGGGCTAAAAACAAGTAAACATATGATCGTCATGGAGATTTTGCGCCAATTGCAGTTTCTTTAGAGGCCTGCATCATTCCATCCCACGAGTCTGAAAACACAGCCGGTATTCCTTTGTACTGATAGAGCGCAGCTGCAAGGTCATGGCCTTCATGAAGTTCTCTTGGGAGGAGACATGTTTTGCAGGAGTCTGGTGGTTGTCGCGATGACCACCAATTGGAGCAGGACACCTAACCAAAGCAATGAAGGGTGATGGAAGCCTGAAGTTAGCATCGCATATTTTGTCGTCAACAGATAAATGGAGCAATCTAGAACTTACCAAGTGCAACACGGACCACATCAAACATCTCATAGCTTGTAATGGCTGCTGTGTTTTGCTTCGTGATCTAGAAAGAATCGGATGCTAATTAATCGATGTATTCGTATTCTGGAGGAAGAATTTGACAATAACTTGGTAAATAAAGGCAAACTCGTGCAGTAAATTGGTAACATGGAACTGCAAAGTGCACAGAGAATGCATTGACTATATTGCTGCAACGGAAGTGAAGTGAAAGTATAATTCTGGCCTTGATGATTCGGAGTTAGCACATGAATGTCTTAAATTGCCATCCTAAATTTATAAAAATTCAAATTCCAAAGCAATTTCAGATCTAAATGATAAGAAAAGACAGTTAAAAGATGGCAAAGAATGGAAATGCCAAATGGGTAGATGTGAGTGCCTGTATTATTGTTGATTGCACTTATAAGGATCAAGATATATGTAAATGATATATCATATACCTTTAAGCTAGCTCAGCCATGTGGACAGTGGCAATCACCTTTCACATGGGATGAGGACAATCCTACACAACATCTTTTTTCAACAGAAAAGGGAACTACTTACAAGTATTTTTCTTCTGCCAGATAAGCCTAATTTTCTTCTCATCTGATTATCAAACTTCTCAAATGTGCTGATGTTATTTATATGCTTTATATAGTCATTCTCATTCCATATTGAGTATAGTACATCTTCTTTGTAGCTGAATCATCACAAAGGCTTAAATTTCCCTCAACTGTTCAACTTCTAGCAGGTGATTGACGTTTAAGCTACATATTTTGGATTCAAGTCTAGGTCTAGCGCATAAATTGTCAATTATGTGGGACTAGACAGCAAACTCAGGGCCAACAAACTACAAGGAGTAAGAGTCTAGACAAAGCGGTTCCTAACTCAATGAAGCTGAAGAAGATTGAACTCATGGGTTTAGAGGTACTTAAGCTTGCCAAAGAAGCAGAGCCTTACATGAGACAACTTCACACATATTACTTGCAAAAATATTTAGGTACTAAATTACATAGTCCAAAGTTCAAACCTTCACGAACAAGTCTGAACGAATAATGCACGTCACAGAGAATGCAATAGCAATCGATGACAAGCTTGTGTACAACCGAAGAAACACTGCCACAGTCCGCCTCCGCCCTGTGAAACAACATGATCAGCTCAAACACCATCATCAACAAGATCAGCTAGAATGCAATCAACAATCTGATGAGGGTAGTTGGATAAAACAATGGCATAAAAGGATGCCCCACTGCGGAGAACCGAATGGAGTATTGAAGATTATTTCTTCAGATGTCCACTGACAAAGTACATTTCCAATTTGGCGTGAGTAAACTTTGGATACCTACAACCCCTTGATCATTTACTCAATATATGTCGAGAGACGGTAGGGGCTGGTCAAGAAAAAGGATCAGAAGCTCATACAGTGCTGCAATTTGCTTGTCGGTATGGAAGGCCTATAATAATGTGTGCTGTAATACAGTCATACTTGTTTAACCTAACATGATTGTCTTTAAAGCGTTCAGAGTGGAACTGTGGGAATAGTACTAACTACAAATTACTAGGAAGGGTTTCGTGCTATGGATGCCAATCAATATACAACTTGAAGGCTCTAAACAAAGCTCACGAGTTAAAACAACCACGAGAATAATCGAAGTACTGAAGTCTCCTAGTTTCGCTAGTCCTACACAAGGAGTGACCTGTGACCATCATTGGCGACTTGGCAATGTTTTCTCTGGATTGTATAGACTTTTTTAGCTCAGTGACACCAATTATATAATTTTAACTCATAGTTTTAAGTTCCCCTTTTTAGCTCAGTGATACCAATTATATAATTTTGTAGTCTTCCACTGAACTATGAAGCCCTTTCTTTTACTGAAACTTAGTAAAGGCTTTGTAGGATCTCATGGCGATTTTGTTACTAAAACCAGATTCAGATCTAATGTTTTGGGCAAAAGACAAGGAAATCTGCAAACAAAAGCTCAAAAACAGGTATAATTGACTCATCACCAAATTCCCCCAACAGAATGGCCAGCAGCCCGGCGGCCAAGGACAGCACGGCGAACTTGTTTATCTCCGCCCCCTTCGACAGAGACAGCAACAGCAACGCGCCCCCGGCAACTTGGTGCAGTGTCTACAGAAAGCAAACCACGACGAACACTTGTCAGATCAAGAACCGCAGCGATGACAAGGATTATGAGCCAGCGCGCCGGTCCTTACCTGCACGAGCATGAGCCGGGCGAGGCGGGATCTGCCGTCGGCGACCCTCTGGTACCCTGCAATGGCGCGCGAGAATCGCGGATGTTTTGGGGCTGGATTAGGCTTCCCGAAGCGAACAAGAAGGTAGTGCGGGTTTGGTGTTTTGGGGGCGCTGGACGCTTACGGGAGTCGACGACCATGCGGTAGGAGAAGTCGGAGCCATCCGTGCCGGACGGCCGGCCGCGCCGCTGCTGCATCGGGATGGACGACGACGACGGCGACGGCGGTGCACGCGGGGAAGGAAGGGGAGGACTGTCCAGGCAGGGCGCCTCCCTGCCTGCCAGAAGTCTTGTAGACGGAAAATACGCCACTTACCAACAGACGCGTAAAAGGGGGGAATGCGCCTGCAATGCTATTAAGCGTCACACGATCAGAGACGCGCACAAAGAAACACGACGGCGCAGTCTCCGGCACACTCGCAAGTCGCAACCACCTGTCCACTCCGCCGCCGCCTGAGCTCCGGCGACGGAGGAAGCTCCGCCATTCCCAGAGACTCTCTTCATGCCTGCCCCGCCCGACCAGCCCGCGGCCACTGGCGCTGGGGATGCCTCGACTGATCCTACTGCCACTGCTGTCTGCGACGACGTGCACGACTCCAAGGAGGTCGTCCTGCGGCGGTACTTCCTTCAGGAATGGGAGCTGGTCTCCGCCATCCTCCGCCGCATCGTCGCCGCTGGCGGCGTCGCGGAGCCCGCTGACGTCCACAGGATCCGCTCCATCGTAAGCTCTCTCACCCCACCCCTTCTGGATGTTAACTGCCGCTGAACCATAGATCCCAACGAGAATAATGTTTAGCCCTGTAAGCAATGCTAGATTCTGCTTGTTTGGTACGGATCACGGAAGAGCTTATTCTGTTTCAACGTTGATTATTAATTGTACACAAAATCTGAAGAGATCATGTAAGTTTTCAAGCCCCGTGCTCTTGGGAAATGGCAAGCCCTCGTTTGGATGTCTTTGTTTCAGTGAACACTCGATGAGTGCTGGATAGTACTCCCTCCGTTTCTAAATGTAAGTCTTTTTAGAGATTCCACTACAAACTAACATACGGATGTATATAGACATATTTTAGAGTGTAGATTCACTCATTTTGCTCCGTATGTAGTCCATAGTGGATTCTCTAAAAAGACTTATATTTAGGTCCGTTCCTAAATATAAGTCTTTGGAGAGATTTCACTATGAACCACATACGGATGTATGTAGATGCATTTTAGAGTGTAGATTCATTCATTTTGCTCCGTATATAGTCCATAGTGAAATCTCTACAAAGACTTATATTTAGGAACGGAGGGAGTATATGATGCAATTTAAGCTGTTTAGTGGACTAGCTAGCAAATTTGCACTGGAAATTGATTGGTTTTGTCAATCTGTGAACTACAATTTATGCCAAACCCTTCATGTTTAAAAGCTTGATACAAATTAATGCCATGGTTTTTGTTGGGAACCTTCATGTTTAAAAGCTTGATACAAATTAATGCCATGGTTTTTGTTGGGAAATAGATGGACAAATATCAAGAAGAAGGTCAACTTCTCGAGCCATACCTAGAAGACATCATCTCACCAATTATGTCATTGGTTCGATCAAAGATAATGGAACTTGGTGCTGCCACAGATGAGCTCCTTGAAATCATCAAGCCTCTGTGTATTATCATCTACACCCTGGTCACAGTCTGTGGGTATAAGAGCGTCATCAAGTTCTTCCCTCATCAGGTTTCAGATCTAGAGCTTGCGGTTGCTCTCCTTGAGAAGTGCCATACAATGAGCTCAGCGACAGCTCTTAGGCAAGAGAGCACAGGAGAAATGGAGACCAAGTGTGTCGTTCTGTTGTGGCTTTATATACTGATCTTAATTCCATTTGATATCTCCTCTGTTGACACGAGCATTGCTGCCACTGATCACATGCCTGGGTCTGAGGTTGTTCCACTTGTGACAAGGATATTGGACATCTGTAAGGATTATCTCTCCAACTCTGGTCCAATGAGAAGGATGTCAGGGTTGCTGCTTGCAAGGCTGTTGACTCGTCCAGACATGCTGAAGGCCTTCAGCAGGTTATCCTTTACAGCTTATAGCCATCATGCATGGACATTTCAAATTGCTAAATCACCTTCAAAAGTATCCTGTCACCAGAGTAACTGTCAAATTTCTATCACTACTAGGAACTTTTTATTGTCTGAATTGAATGCAAAAATGTTAAAAAATTGTATTTAGCTAACCATGTCTTTGTAACTTATGGCATATATAGTAGAGGAAAATGTAATGAGTTGCCTTTATTTTGTCTTCAGTTTTATGGAATGGGCACACAAAATCTTGTTGTCTGTCACAGATGACTTTGTGGATCAATTTAGGTCCATTGGCATAGTGGAAGCTTTAGCATCAATATTTAAGGTTTGACATTGCCGTTTTTTTGTTTATTTCTAACGTCATACTGCATATGTTCTAGAGATATCTGTTCCCAGCGGCCTAACAATTCTATAAACACCATATTTTTCTTTTGGTTCCTCCTGTTGCAGATTGGTAACAGGAGAGTGCTACATGATGCCAATTCTGGTATTTGGAACGACTGTTCATTTGTGATGAAGACTAATATTGCCATCAGAAGTCCCCTCCTTAGGAAATTTCTGGTCAAACTGGCACAGCGAGTTGCTCTCATTAGCCTGGCTCCCCGTACGCCATCATGGCGCTATCAGGTTTGAAATCTTTCATTGTTAACCTTTGCTTAATCAATATTGTATGGGATATAATAATGCTTACTTGCTTAGATTACTCCCTCCGTTTCTTATTATTTGCATATAAAATTTTTCTGAAGTCAAACTTCGTAAAGTTTGACCAACTTTATAGGAAAAAATATCAGCACTCACAACACGAAATCAATATCATTAGGTGCATCATGAAAATAATTTTCATAATATATAACTTTAGTATTGTAGGTATTGATATTTTTAATATAAATTTGATCAAACTTTGCATAGTTTGACTAAGAAAAATTGTATGCGGAGTAAAAAGAGACGGAGGGAGTACATTTAAAATATATAGATCCTTTTGTGCGTGTGCAGCTTCTTTTTTGAGTAAAGTTGTAGGCACAATGTAAAAATTGTTTACTGCTGGTGCACCTGGTATTCTTACGTTCAATGTTCCATTACCTGGTTTAAACAAAACATGTGTCTGATATGGGTGTGCAAGCTCATAAATTATATGCACAATCCAGAACTCCAAATCACATCTTTTCTTTTGGAGAACAGTAGGGCACAGCGTTACTGAAAATATATTTGAAAATAAGGAATCGGTATTCCACAAGATGTAAATGATACAAAAATTGCACGAAGGGCCAAAAACTATCAATTTGCATCCTACTTGATGTACCGAACATCTTTGCAGTGATCACATCCTGCTCATGGATTTCGTTTGTTAAATCTGGATGTGTGAACCATCCATATGGTAGCAGTTGGGTAAGAGCTTGTCTAACATACTGGAGCTCCAACATCTGCTCAGTTAAGGCATAGCTTGGTACTAACTTAGAATCCAACTTCTGTGGGATTCTGGTAAAAGTAAACAGTTTATAGGAAGGTGTTTTTTTTTAATTCAAAATACTGTTTATTTCTTGGGATTACTGGAACTTCTTTCTGGGACGAAGCCTGTCAAAACTAATGTGGGGATTAGCTAAGGACATATAAGGTAATTAGGTGCATCAAAGGCGCAACATGTACCAAACTAAAAGGCGAAGGAAAGCTAGGACGGTAGCCGAAGGCTTGCCGGGACACCTATGGGCGCGGGACATCCATGGAGTTATGGGCATTCACGAAATCGGCCAGTACATCTTACTCTGGTGCCTGATTGAGGGCACGGCGCTCTCAGACGCACCAGACCAGCTCGTGTGGGAGTGGAACGCGTCGGGCATATACACTGCCAAATCTGCCTACATCGCTTCCTTCCACGGTTCGACGACCTGCAGCAACTGGAAGCTCACATGGAAGAGTTGGGCACCCCCCAGAGTGAAATTCTTCCACTGGCTTGTCAGCTTGGATCGATGTTGGATGGCGGACCGCCTCGCCCGGCATGGACTGCAGCACCACACCAGTTGCCCCCTTTGCAGCCAGGAGCCTGAGACGCTGCGCCATCTCCTACTTGGGTGCCCCTTCTCGAGGCATGTCTGGTTCGAGATCCTCTCTTGTATGCACATGACTTGCAGGCCCCCGGACAATGAGGCTACCCTCTTTGGTTGGTGGCATGATGCTCGGCAAGTCACGCCAAAGGCGATGCGCAAAGGGCTGGCATCCGCGACACTTCTTACATCCTGTATGATCTGGAAGCACCGAAACGACTGCATCTTCAACAACGCGCGCCCTTCCATCCGAACACTAGTTCACGGCATTAAGGAGGAAGCCAGACTTTGGGCTGTGGCAGGCGCTGCTGGACTTAGAGTAGTCTTGCCCCCGACCTGGGATGTGCATTAGCTCATGTTCCCAGACTGTAATCCGCCTCCTAGGAGGGCTGTAACATAAAACTCTCTCTTTTCAATACAATAGGTCCTTTGCGTTCTCCCCAAAAAAAACATGTACCAAACTACACCACATCCCTTCTTTTCAAAATTGCTGAGTGCTGGCAGTGATTTAGCTTCTAGTTTCCGAGATGGCTAATGCAGAAGAATCATTTAATAATTGATATCATGTTCTACATTTATCTTTTATCGGATGCATTCTGTGAGAAACTTTTGCTATTATGTTGTATGTGTTCGTCAGTTTGTTCTACCATAGTGCTTACTGGTTTTCTGTCATGCAGTCAATAAGTAGTTCACTGGGTGCAAACCTTTTAAGTTCTACTGCTGCGTCTTCAAGTGGATCAACCCAACAAGTGAACATTGATCAAACAGACACATGTGGGTTGGAAGAAGACATGGATGTTCCAGAAATTGTGGAAGAGATAATTGACTTACTATTGACTGGCTTGAGGGATTCCGTATGTTCTCATCGAATACTATACTGTACATTTAGTTTGTTCTCTGTGTCATGTTTAATAAATTTACGGATAATGTCTTCTTTGCTTTAGGTAGGTCCATCATCTCTACTGTGTTTCTTTCTTCCCGTGTGCATGCATGCTGATTAATATCATTATTACACCAGTATCTTTACTGCAAATCTGCCACCGCTGCATCCTATGTAAATATGCAACTGTACTCCAGATTATTCAGTATTTTGGAGACTTT